ACAAACAAAGGAAAGACCACTTGCTCGCTATGCTTGTGCTTATAACAGGAAAACTCACAGCTAGGAAGGGGAGGCTGCAGCCCCGGCAGCCCTGGCGCTCTGAGTGGAGCCTCCCAGAGGCCAGCTGTGGTGCAGACTTGTGCGATGTCGCTCCTGAGAAAAGACCACAAAGGTCTTGGTGTCATCATCAGCCCCTGTCATCCTTGCAAGCGGGGTTGCCCAGGAGACGGGGATGATGGCAGGAGGGGTGTGACGCACACAGAAGTGTCGAGAGCCGCTTCACGCGTATGCAGCCCAGCGCGGTCGTGGACTGTTGTGCTCGTCTACTTGTATGTGTTTGTATTTAGGACACCTTCCCATAATGGGATCACATAAACGTGACCAAGTGGATTTTGTGATCATTTCTATTCAGCATTGATTGGGGCATACACCGGAGTGCAGAACCTGAATCTCCAAAAGTGACAGGAAGTGGTGAGGACTGCGTGTGGCTCTGACGTCCTCTCTCCCAGCACCAGGGCACCTGGTGTGGCTTAGCAGGACACTTAGCTCGTAACCAGGGTTGAGCCCCAACTGCGTGGCAGGGAAGACTGCAGTGGACAAGATGCTGGGCTTTTTCCTGTTTAGCAGACGGAAGACTTTGGTTTAACAATCGTTCTTGGTAGTGAGTAAGTTCTGTAAATCCATTCATTTACCCATGCACTCATTCAGTGGTAGGCTGTCTGCTCCTTTGAATTTCCACAGTTTGGGGTAAATACAGATTGAATTTAAAGTGCAAAACAAAGAGTTGGGATAATTTTGCATTCGTGTGTGTTAAAATGCCTTGCCTAAACCGTTCAGGTTGGTAAGTAGCTTAGTTCACAGCTATACGAGATCATTTTATATTACACGGGGGAGGTGAGCTTGCACTTGTGAAGGGAGGACTGTGCGTCCTAGAACGTCAGAGAAGACCTCCCAGCCCTGTAGGAGTGAGGGCCCCTGACTGCCCGTGACGCACCAGCCCAGGGCCACCCCATGAGCCCGCAGGGAGTTCTGGGACCGTTTGACCCCTGTGGTACCTGAAATCCTCCTGCGATAGGCATTGATCGTCCCTTGACCCATGGGCATGTGAAGGGCTCTGTGCTAGAAGAACAAAGGACCTGTCCTCCACTGACCTGTGCCAGTAAAGGAGGGAGAGGGTCAGCGCTGGCCACGCATGGCGCAGTTCAAACCCAGACATCTGCACAGGGACACGGGAATGTGGAGCAGCACCCTGTCTGCCCGGCCCAGGGTGCTGTTGGGGTGGCTTCTCTAGGAAAGGTGATGCCCTGACACACAGAAGCCTAGCCAGGTGCCAGGGGCAGAGGTTGGAGGAGGGTCTGCACAAGGCGAGGAGTGGATGCTGGAGCGGTGGCAGCCCAGGAGGGCAGCGAGGCGGGGTGAGCATGGGTTTACTGCGATACGGCAGCAGCCATCACCCAGGTTGTCTGAAGGCCCTTCAGTGACCACACTGGTGGCATTGTATTTCGTTTATACTGGATCATTTAGAGAGTGATGACAGGAAAAAGCCTGTATCTCTTCAGTAAAGATTACAGCTATTACCTTTACATGGTTGACTGAATCTGCAATTGGTTCAGTTTGTGGATTCTGAGCCCATGGATAGTCTCACTGTGTTACTCAAGATGAGTAACAGAATCTTCCCCATGAATCTAACATTCATTCAGCTAACAATGTGAGTACCGTGGACCTAGAGATGTGTGTCTCATGTGGTCTAATGGGAGGTTGCAGCAATCACACAGACACCTGTTAGCCTGGGAGCAAGCTGGACCTCAGGAGGAGGCTGGCTTAGGATGCTGCCAGCTGTAGCCCCACCCATGTTGCTGAGAAAGTTCGGTGGGCTGCTGTTGATTCCAGCAGAGTCACAGTCAAGGGCAAGGCTGGGCCCCTTGCCAAATCCCGCACTGCTACTGTGCCTCTCTAGCTCACCGGGGAGCTTTGGCGAGCTGTGGATCACCCATGGACCCGTGTCCAGAGGTCCTCTCTTCTTTTGCTGAAGAATATTTAGTAGCCAGGGGAAACTAGGATGAAATCCTCAGCCTCTTGATTTTTTGTTCCACTTTTGGGTGGAGCTTTATTAGTCCCACACCTGCAGGGTTTGCTGACTATGAGGCCAAGACACTGACAATCAAGCCAGGGTGCGTAAAACTGAAATGCACTTCCTCAAAGGCATCCAGTGCCCTTGGAAAGTCTGTCTGGACTCTCCTGCACACATCCTGGCTCACTGAATGTGTCATGGTCTTTCTTTGTTAAGGCAATATCATCTCAGCAAACATCCAGGACTGAACTAGAGGTCCGAGAGGCCAAGGAAGCTTGCATCAATCACTGCAAGGCCCCTGTGCCCTTGGTCATTGTCCTTGATGATCCCAAATTGCAAATAAGGCACTTCATTGCCTCACTGTGAAATGGTGCACTGCACGCTGCACAGCGCCTGGCACTTAGCAGGTAGCTGAAGACTCCTACCTGTGCTGCTGCTGGTGGCCCAGTGTAGCTGAGTGGTTCCCCAAGAGTGACCTCTGTGGGCCGGGGGTGTAGTTTAGCAACATGTGTGACGCCCTGGATTCGGACCCCAGCAGCAGCAGCAGCAGGAGTATCAACAGGATTAACAAGCGTGCACTCTGTGTATTGCACTGAAAGATCCCAGACATTGATCTGTGTTCTGCTTGATCAATTCATTTATCACAGTCAGTTTTCGGTGTTTAATTTGCATCTGCTCTCTGCATTCTTTTGCTGTGGCCATACATTTGCCACACCCTTTCTAGTGTATGCTTCAGTAACCTTGAGTCTGAGGTCACCGTCCAGCTGTGTGTATATGTACTTTTCTAACAATGAAGTTAGTGTGCCCAGCATGTCGGGGTGGTGTGGAATCCAGGCGCTGGGAGAGGGAGGGGTGTCGTGAAGTGGGGTGTCCTGGGACTCCTTTGGAGTGGGGACAGGGATGGGGGACAGGGATGGATTCGGGTGTTCCCTAAATGGGAGGTGTTCCTGCATCACCTGTTGTGAGAAACCAGTGACGTGCTAGAAGTTTCTCCACCTGAAATGGCGCTCCGATTGGAAAGCCGTGTTAAAATAGGAAACCAGCAACAGTGTCCATGTTGGTTTGCCAGGGCTGCGCAGACCCGGGACTCAGACATCAGAAGTGGTCTCTCACCGCTCCAGTGCCCGCTGGGTTGCTTCCTTCTGCACCTCCCTCCCGGGCCTGAGGATGGCCAGCTCCTCCCGTGTCCACAGCAGCCCCTCCGTGTGTGTCTGTGCACTGCTCTCTGCTGTCTCGGAGTCCAGGCCTCCTGGATCAGGGCCACAGTCATGACGTCGCTGTGGCTTAGCAGCTTCTGTGAAGGCCCTGTCTCTAAATATGGACACGTCATGAGTTCCCAGAGGTCGGAGCTTCATTCAGTGTGTGGATTCTGGGAGTGTGGGAGCACAGTCCAGCCCCCCACAGTCCCTGGTGATCCCGCCAGTAGTAAAGGCCTTCAGATCCTCCCAGTTCCAGAAAAAGCAGGTGAAGCCAGGCGTGCTGTGCCTTGGGTGTGCGCACTGCCCGGGGCACACAGCCTCCATGGCGCTCGAAGTGTAGCCGCCAGCCCCAGAGCAAAGCATGCTACTGATGCTGCACCGCCTACATTGTTCTTAGAGGGGATACCAAACAGGCAGCATATTTAAGTCCTCCCTCCCTTCTGCCAGGAACACTCCTGGTATTCTCTGGAGCTCACTCTGTTGGTGATCATCAAGTACTTTGTATCTGCAAATGTCTTCCCTGGAGAAAGAGTCCCCTGGCTTCCAGATGATCCGGGCAGCCTTAAACAAACACAGGATTGCGAAGCAGATCCTCATTCTGCACATAGAGGGCAAGGCCATTTCAGCCTGAGGGGAAGGCTGATGGCTGAGGAGCCTGAAGGAGGGCGTTTTAAAGTCGCATTTCATGGGCCATGGGTGGAGCCCACTGGCAGCGTGCTTGCCTGGCATATGTGAAGCCAAGGCCTTGAATTCGGTCTCCAGCACCACAGAGCAGCGTTTCAGTTTCATGTCCTGCACCAAGCTGCTATTGTCCAGCGAGTCCTTCTAGTAATGCACGTGATGTACTGGAAGGCCAGTGAGGTGAGGGTCTTGAGTGTCATCTTATGGCTGTCCTCCGCACTGGGAACGGCACTGTTTGGAGGAGGTCATCTCCTGTGGTGTCAAAGGTGCATGTGCCCTTGCTGGGGTGCTTCAGCCACTTGATGATGTGCCGTGATGGTTTTGTGACCCTTGGCGGGGAAAACATGGTGACAGTCTGAGCAGAGGCTAGTAAAAAGAGCCCTACTAACTGTACCCCAGCTGTTTAGACTACAGACGGATTCCTAGTGTCTCCTCGGCTTCCCCTCCTCCTCCCTCCTCCCCTTCCCCTCCCTCCACCCCTCCCCCTTCTTCCCCCTCCCCCTCCTCCTCTCCCCTGACCCTCTTCTCCACTTCTGGTCTCCTCATCCGAGCAGACACTGTGGTATCCATCAGTGGCAAAGCTCCACATTAAAGATGCTTTCTGTAAGGAGCCAGCATTCCATTAGCAGGGCAAGATAATAAGCAGTTGTTGGCTCACCAGTGACTTTTTATTTAAATGTTTATCAGCAGAGAACTATGATGAATTTTCAATGTGCTTTTCACATGGAATCTGCTTCTCTAGATCTATGTACAGAACCAGAAGGAGCCGATCTGACTCCAAAAATGAATAGCCAAAGCCCTCCACCCCTTTCTATCGCTGTTGCTTCCTTTGCTGCTGTCTCCTGTTATTTTGCATTCAGGCCATAATCATTTCGCTCGCTGCTAACTCTGGCTCATTTAATAACTGTTATCCATTGTAAAGATTAGAGTGGGTTAGGTTCCATGAGTATTCACATTCTGCAGATAGGCGGGACAGGAGAAGCACATGCCTTTTAAAATAGAATGGCTGGAGTGCGGACTTTTCTAATGTACGCGTGTTACTATTTTAGGTCTCCGAATTCAACCCTTTGACATTCACCAGCATAATTGAGTGTGAGAAGCCGAACAATGACCTGAGTCGGTTTCGTGGCTGCATGTGAGTACCCTGTGACTTCCCTGCTTGTCATGGTGTTTGATGAGCCACACACGCACACACAGAGTCATGAATATGTATTGAGTTTCTTTGCCACACAGTGATGCCTCCCGAGTCGCCTGCCTCTGAGCTCCCATGGCTGCTCGGGTGCTGGCTGGTTAGAGCCTGGCACCGCAGACCCCTGGCAGTGTCGTTGCAATGAGGAGCCACCGTACTTCTCTTCCAGCAGCCGGAGAGGGCGAGGCTGTGGCAGGAGATGTGTGGCTGTTCACACAGGGCCTCAGCGGGTAGCAGAGCTGGAGCCAGGCAGAGGGACCAAGATAAAATCCACTCCCCCTTTCCGTCACTTATTCATGAGCCAGGGTTCGCTGAGTGCTCTGGATGGAGTTCAGGGATGGAACAGATGAAAATCCTCATTTTCTTGTTTATTTCATTCTACTTAGAAGAAAAGAGACAGCACCCTCCCCCCAGCCAAGAAAATAAGTCCTCTGAGTGTGTGTTATGCTTAACAGTCCGGTCCCCTCCCCTGCTCCAAAACTGAAAGACCACAGAAGTGGACAGATAGACCCGGCCTGGCCATCTGCCGATGCCATGGTTCTGATTAAAACTGGTCAGTGAGGTCTGGGGCGGTCACTGTTATGTTCTTTCTGCTTTTTGCCTGCTTAGAAATTTCCCTAATCATATGGTAATGCTTGTCAATGCGTCAGTTGGTGCGGGCAGATACATGTTAGAGAAATACATGCATCCGGATAGGCTTGTTGAGCTGGGGGCGGGGGTGGGGTCCGGTGCAAAATGGTTTCCTAGGGATGTGGGATCCAAGGAACATAGGCTTGAGCCACCCTGATGTGCCGCATCAGCCAGCTCCACGGCTCAGTGCCCATGGTGGTCTGGAGGTTTCGGGGCTTTCTCTCCAGGGCAGTCCTGGTCCCAGGCAAGAGCTCACGGGTGATTTACTGATGCATCCGGCGCTGCTGCCTGTGCCCAGCACCCAGGAAGCACCAGGGATTCTAGGCGTGTCCCACAGAAAGAAGACTGCATGGCGAAGGTGACGAGCATCAGCAGCCACAAGAAGGTCCCGAGGACCAGAACCTGGAAGACGTTAGCGCCTTCCTAAAAGGACCCAGTGGAAGGAATTGGAATTCCAAACTGCATTCTACAAGATTTGGGAGGAGAGCCCTGCCCAACCCATACATAACCTGTCTGCATGGATTTTCTTCCTGTCCACTCTGAGCCACCTCCTCCAGGTCCCATTGGCCAGCTACCTGAGGAGTTCATGCGCATGATCCATCCCCAGCACCTCTGTGCAGTCCCAGACCAGGCCAGGTGCTGAGTTTCGAAGATGCCTTGCCCTGAAGTAATGTTGCAATAGTGACATAACCTCTGGGGTGAATGTCTGTGGGTGCTCGTGGAGTGATCTTACAGTGCCGAAAAAGATGGGAGACATAGACATTCCTGTCTGTGGACTACTCCTGGTCTTCCTTCCCAGGACCATGGGCTCTGGAAGCACACGGTGTCCATGAGCTCAGATGAGTGTCCACATGCTTGTCACCCATGTGGTTGGGTCGACTCTGGAGAGGACTGAATCCCGTGGCAGCAGCTTTCAGTCCTGCCTTCGAGGGACTTCTGGGAGCCAGTCTTAGCCGGTCTCTTAGCACTGGGTGTGGCAGGCTCTGGAGCCCACCGTGTCTGGTCGGATAACCTGGCTGAGACACTTATAAAAGGGTGTTTAATTGGGTCATCTTAGGATACCCCTTGTGTCATTATTGGGAGTTTGGTTAATTTAGTACACAGGACAATAGGTACTTACTGAATGAATACTGTCACAGAAATACGGTCACCTAGAGCAAGAGGAGAGAAGGCTCAGGAGACATCTGGGTCTTTATTGTGTGTATAAGGAAGAACTCAAGAGAGAAGAGGGTACTGAGGTTTCCTGAGTTTGAAGAAATGGCAGGTACATAAAGCAAACAGCTGAGCTAACAGCGAGGGAATGTGAACCAGGCCTCGTGTTGCTCTGCTGTCTGTCACTGTAATGAAATTGATGCGGAAAGGTACTTAATAAGGCAGTTTTTAGCTCTTGGTTTTGGAGACTAAACAAGTGGCACAGTACAGACTCTGGTGAAGGACCCCTGGCTGTGCAGCTCGCGGTAGGCGGCATCACGGTGACAGTGGGAGAACACATTGCCGGACAAAAGCCAAAACTGGGCCAGGGGTGCCACGGTGATGCCTTTAACACCGATGCACCAGGAACCACATTTTCAAGGCAGGAACCTCAGGGGTGATGCACACTATTTCCAAACTATGGAATTGAGGGCAAGTGGAAACTTGAAAGCATGAACCTTCAAACCGATGGCACAAATCACCGAATCGAGGGCTTTGAAGACCCTCTGCCTAGACGATGCCATGCTCACAGTCAGGGAAGAGCCAGCTCACATGGAGCAAGGGAGAGGGCAAGGGAGAAAGGAAAGGCATGCAGACAGTCACCCCCAGGCTAGCTCTAAGCATCTGTCCTCGGGCACAGGGATGCTCTTACCGAGGCAAGGCCTGGGGAAGAGGCAGAGCTGACTCCGAGAGGGAGGTCGGAAGTGAGGAGCCCGAGCAAGGTGATAGCCAAGCAGCTGCAGACCAAAAGAGGTCCTGGGTGCAGGAGATAAAGGAGCCTTGGCTCAGCCATGCTTTCGGGAAGGGTGGCTTGAAGGAGAGGAAGAGCTGAGGTCAGAGATGATGGTGTCAGAAACAGAGGGACACTCACTAGGGAGGGTGCAGGTGACCAAAGGTCAGGCTGTGGTGACCTCCACGCATGTGAAGCTGGCACTTTGAGAGGCGGTGACGGCTTGGGGGACCCTCACACCAGCACCCAGCCCTCAGCTCTCCCACTCGGTGGCCACCATTCTGCCTGCAGCCAGCAAGGCTGGTCTAGCTTTTCCAGCAGTACTCACACAGAGCACTCCCAGCAGGGCATCCTCGCTGGCACATTGCTTGAGAAAGAAATGCCCCGCTCCTCTCCACTGTGCAATCACACTCCCTTCCCAACTTTGCCTCCAGCTGTCCTACCCCATTGGTCCCTCCAGAGCCCGGGCTGGAAACAGCTTAGAAACACCTAGCTCAGCCTCTCTCTGTGCAGCCCCATGGTGTGCCATGTCTACCAGGCGAGCAGGGAGCAGATAGGTTCTGTCCCAGCTAGACCAGCCTGGGTGGGGTCTGGAGGTACGCTGTGGTAACATTCTCATGAAGGTTTCTCCAGGGCTCTGGGGTGCCACCAGAGTGCGAGTGCCCTTCTCCCAGCTCCAGGAGTGCAGATGAGGACACACGCCCAGGGAGGAAAGCCAGCCAGTGCCACGCTGGGGAGCTCTTCCTTGGGCAGAGAGGGAGCCAGTCAGTGTATATCAGGCGAAGAGCAAGGAGGTCTCAACCTGCACTGGTTCTTATGTCTGGGCTAGGACCTGGGCTGTCGCAGTCTCAGGACTGCATCAGCTGCAGGGCCGGTCCCCAGGTGTGCTGGCTCTGCACTCGTGACCTCCCAGGCTGGCCTCCTTTCTGCCTCCAGGGGACAGCAGCTTCATTCATGCCCAGGAGCCAGCACTCTTTGCCAAGCCTGCTGCCGAGTGTTGGTCTTGTTTTGAGCACCCAATCCAGACTCAAAACCTTCCACATTTGCCTTTGGAAAACAGAACTGAATTTGGGTTTGTAGGAAGAAGACCCAAGTCTGAATTACCTTTACCCCCTTGCTGGGGCAGGTGGCCCTATGAAAGCTGACCTGAACTTCTGAGCACCAGTCATTTAATTTTGTGGGTATCTGGATGCCCTGTCAACTCCACAGGCAGACCAGAGAATCCAGTGAAGAATTCAAGGGAAGAACCACAGGGCTGAGGTCATGGCATGCAGGACTTGGTTCTCGTGTGTGGTCCACTGATACAAGAGACACAGGGATCAGAGGCTGCCAGGCTCTGGGGATGCAGAGTGGAATGGGAAGGGGCAGCAGATGCTAGTGAGCTTCTTTTGCAGGGGGCGTTCTCGGATTTGCTGGTGGTGTTAGTTGGCAGCTTTGAATACACAAAATACAACCGCACAGTGTGTTTTTGATGAGTGGGTATTAGGGAATAGAAAATCTCTCCCAAACTACTTTTTAGAAACCCGTAGGAACTCCAGTATTCAAGTATTCTTCAAAACTCAGTGTTCTTTAAGACAATTCCAACTACTATGGCTTGTGTCTAGATGTCCCCCAAAGCCATATGCAGTCAAAGGTAGGACTTTTTCAGAGGTGGTTGGATCTGGAGTGTGTGATTGCCTTATGATGCAATGCTAGGATTCGGGTGCTAGGAATAAGGGTGGGTGATTACTAAGTCAGTCCATTATTTGGCTTGGTACCACCCTAAACCCTGTAGGCTAGATAGAAAATAAAAGGGGCAGAAAGAAGCTGCCAAGTTTGCTTGGACTTGCTGCTTGCGATTCCTGCCTTCTGCCTGCCATGAACCCTTTCTCTTTCGTGATGCCCCTCTGCCATGCTAGTCAGCACTGAACTGAAACCTCTACAAACTCTGAGGCTAATAAACCTTTCCTCCCTTAACTTTGGGTGTTGGATATTTTTCTCAGCAATGAGAAAAGTAACTAAGATAAAATTTGGGGAAATGGGGTTGTTGCTGCGACTGTACCTGACCATGTGTTTCAGGAGCCTTTGGAACTGGCATGTGGGAAGGATTTGGAAAGACTTGGAGATGCTGGCTGAAAAAGTAGTCCTGGAATGCCTGGGACTGTACTTGATGGAAGGTTCTGGCTGGAGCTCAGACCAGAATGCTGATAAAAAATCATGTTAGTAAAGACCAGGCTGAGTAGGTTTCTGCTGGGAAGAACTACATTGGCTGTTGGACTCCAGACAATGTGTTGTATAGCTTGGCAGAAAATTTAACTGCATTTTGTTCGTGTCCAGAGACTACCAGAGACTGAAATTAAGAGTGGCAGACTAATCAAGCTTGCAGAAGACAAGAGAGTCTAATGTTAAGGAGTGA